GATATTGGAAACATCACGAACACTGGCACATCCATCGAGCTTGCCGGAATTTTATATCGGGTCGAAATACCAGTATTCAACGATCTTATTCTTTCGATTGCTCATGGGATATTAGAAACTTAGGCCTGAAACTGTTAATTGCTTATTTCGGATTTACGGAGCACGTTTTTGAATGATGTATTATTTTTTTCCACAGTAGAGTTTATAAGAAAAAGTTCAAGATATATATGATACGTATATATCTTAAATTACAAAAGATAAATATGTAAAATATATTAATATATAAAATATGTAAAAGATAAATTATAATTTAAAATAGAAATGTGCTTAATTTGAGTATATCTCCTCTCTGTACTAAAAATAGTAATCTTTTTCTGCACTGCGTCATTTCGCGACTAATCATGTCCATAGGATTCTTACATAATATTGATGACAGAAATGGAACTAAAACAGCCAATAATAATTTTACATCAGCTTTAGTTATCTAATCCAAATGAATTGAGAACCAAAAGTAACTCCGTCTTACTTAAGAGTTCATCCTGAACACAACTGCACTTGCTTTCTACGTTTCCGCCTAGCTGGACGACTGCCTGCTGCTCTCTGCAAAGCTATCAAAAATGTAAATATTTTGAAATAGGAGAAAATAATGTGCCAAATAGTTTGTGGCCACAACAGGCTTACTGAAATGAAAATGAAGATTTAATCTGCCTCGGCTGCCAGTTTCCTACTCATTATGGATCAACATTTCAATTTCACCATTCTAAGCAATCAAAATTTTTACTGTTCAACATTCTGTGCAATCAATTTCTACAACACCAATACTTTTACGCTGAATATTTGTTTCATTGCAGTGAGTCGACAGTACGGTTTCCTGTGTTTCAAAATGCTTATGTGGTGTTATTTAAATATTAATTCGTATTCTTAATTATGTCTCTTATGTCCCACCTGTTTAAAATTTCACTTTCAACAATAATTTTAATAACATGCGCAACAGAAATCTATTAAAAGACTGATAGTCAAGCGTATCGTAATGAAACCTTGCGCAGTAATATTTTAATTATATTCTTTTTCCACCAGCCTCTCAAACGGACTGTCGGCTCGACAGTTTGTTAAGTATTTCATCCAGCAAATAACCATGCTTCCGGATTCGAGTCTGACTCAAGGCTTAGGCATTTAGCTGCGCTGCAAGCAGACAGCTTCATCATTCTTCATTTGCTTGACAGAGCAAAAAGGATATATCTTTATCACTTGACATATTTTATTTTAAGTCCGAGCTCTCTCAAATGATATCTGCATTTCCCACATTGGTCCATTCACAAAATATCCATTTTACTTCATGATGAACTTTAATTATATTTTCATTATTTTTGTTTAACTGACTAGGCAAAGCTATCAGATTAAGGAGGAATTATATTTTCATTATTTTTGTTTAACTGACTAGGCAAAGCTATCAGATTAAGGAGGAATTATATTTTCATTATTTTTGTTTAACTGACTAGGCAAAGCTATCAGATTAAGGAGGAATTATATTTTCATTATTTTTGTTTAACTGACTAGGCAAAGCTATCAGATTAAGGAGGAAATCTCTGTGAAGTAATTTCTGAAGAAAACACTCTATACATAGAAGTTTAGCTCTTTTATCCACTCTACCATTTACGGGGTTTCACATTTTTGTAGTTTACTTCTTAATCTACTTCCGATAAGAAATAGCTGAGCTTTTAACAGGCTAAGTTCAACACACTACTTTTTATATGGCGTAAATGCGAGGTAAATGATGCTTAATAATAAAGTTAAAAAGACAAAAAGAAAGGAGGGGTTAGTAGGAGTGATTGTTGCAGCAGACTGGTAGACAGCGAACTCAGCGGGACCGTAGAAAACCTTAACAAACCCTTTGTGGGCGACTGTTAAATTCTGAAACCATTCAGATTTTTATTTATTTATTTTTATCGAGTTTTAACGAATAAATGTCGGGAAGCGGTTTTCAGAAATTCTTCGCAAAATAATGTATGTTGCTTCTTTAATTGCTTTTAAATTGTTAAATATTTTAGTGTGAGGATCTACAATGTAAATGCAAAACTTACGGTTTTGATAGCCTTTCTTCATAATATAAGATGTTTTATCGTCTCGGAGAATTCTTTCAGTGAAGCGTCAACCTTCAGTTTATTGACCGCATATTCTTATTCTTATACTAGCCTCTCTCTCGGATTACAAAAATATCTTTCTTTTTCACAAAATAAATATTATTTATTGACGACGTTTAGCTTGGGAAACGAAATCGAAATACAAACAAAATGGTTTGTCTCCTACATGATCGAGCGTTTCAGTTACACGATGGGAATTAGGACATTTCGGACTTTTTTGGATTTTTAATTCTTAATATTTTTTCTTTTCCACTCAACCTTTTCACTTAAGGTGAAGTCAGGACACTTGCTTACAGAATGTTGTCGGATTTAGGTTCTAAGATATGTGTTTTAGAGTTTCTGTGATGGAATTTATTTCTTTGAAAAGAGTTTCTCTGTAAAACTACGGTGCTTGTGGAATGACGCTTAGTTGAGTCAGAATGGCGATGAGTCGACTCAAATGAGTCGGAATGGTACTATGGTGTTTGTGGATTTAATTTCGTATGGATTTTCTTCCCATTGAGTTGAGAAGTAAGTAAATCGTGTGCTTTCCCCTTAGTTATTTCGTAAAGCCGTAAATGTATTTTATTCAACAACATTCAAATTTACAAATAAATTTTTGAAATTTAAAGAAATATTTGCTACTAAATGAGAGATTGTAAATAAATATTTATTTTTCCTATGATTCCCAACCAATCGAACTGAAATTTCAGATATTGTTATTTGAAGGTATGTGCTCGAGATTGCGATGATTTAAAACAACACGGTTATGACTAGAGAAAACTTCGAATGGCGACATTAGCTTTTTCCCTCGGAAATTGATCAGCGCATTGAAAAACAATAAATGCTTTTTACATGTAATTTTACAATGCCCTTCTTTGTAAAATGTTTTACGCTGGCGATTTTCGTCATACGTGTATTATTCCAACGATACTGGTTGCTTTTTTCAATGCGCTGATCAATTTGCGCAGGAAAAAAATGGGTGTTGCCATGTGAAATTTCCGAAATTGTTTCACTGCAATCCTAACAGTGTCTGTGTGTTGTTGTGTGTGAGAGGTCTATTGTTTTAAATCATCCCAATCTCGAGCACATCCTTTCAAATAACTATACCTGATATTTAATTTCGATTGGTTGATAGAATAGGCCATGGGGGTTATTATATATCGGGTAAGTCTTTTTATGACCACCGTTTATTTTGGTTCTTATAAATGTTTTGTGATATCTTGCTGGTAACCACATTTTCGTTATTAACGTTTATATTAAATACGCCAAATTTCAAAACGCGCCAAAATGTAAATTCCCGCATATCTTAGGTAATTTTGAATAAGAAACTTTAATTTTTTTGCAGGTATGCTTAGAAATACATCAACTTTACGATGATTTTAAAAATTTTATAGGTTATAAATCAAAATATTTTTTTAGAAAATTAGAAATATTTAAAAATACAAATTTTTAACATAGATAATAAAAAATGTTCGAATTATATTTTGATTAAGCTTAAATTCCGAATTCTCGAAGAAGGAACCCAGTAAGTTTAATAAAAAAAGAGATGTTAGTAAATATCTATCAAATTCAATTAACATTGAGGAACTAAAATTTTGAGAGCTAATTTTTGAAAAACTATTCGTGCGGTTTTTACGAAACTTGGCAGCTTGGCATAATTTGAGTAGTAGAATCGAAATATGGAACGAAATTGGCATGTTATTTCAGAAAAAGTCCGATTTGTGTCAAAATACCTATGTTAGAACAATGCTATGTATAAATCTAATATATTAAGTGGCGCTTTCGAGACATGAAAAATGCAATTTGAATTTTACCAATCGGCTTTGTAGAACGAGAGATATAGAACTGTCCCATTTTTTTCTTTTTTTTTTTTTTTTTTTTCTTTTTTTGCACAGTGTACATAATGATTTCATCAGGCCTTCATGTTGTTTTCACCATGTACAAAGAGCATGCAATTCATTTTCTTTTCGAGTTTCCATCAGAAACTTAATTACTTAGTTCTCAACTGAGAGATCTGGTTGAATAAATAACGTAAAAAAAATGGAAACTCGCGTATCTAATAGTTTTTTAGAGTTTTTATTTTTAAGAAATATTTTAAATACTTTGCTTTCATAACTTTGTCATTTTTATGCTGTTTTAACCATTGGTGAATCCTAGGTGCTGTTGAATATTGTTATTGATTGTCAGGGTCCTTGTGTGATAGATTAAAGGAAATCGTACAAGTACCTCCTAATCTCCATCCCAATTTCGGTACTCAGCGATTGAACTGACCTAAACGAATTATTTGCTGAATATATATATTTAGGCTAGACTGACAATCTTTACATAAAATACTTTTCAGTTAATTTTACTCTATTAGAAGAACTCTGATTTAGAAGAAATTAAATAAATAAATCTGAAATGTTTCAGATTTTTAACGGTTGCACAAAAGGGTCTGCTTAAGTTTTTTAATCACTCGCTGAGTTCGCAGTCTGCTTAGCCTGCTCTTTCACTCACTCCTGCTAACCCATTTGTTTTGACTTTTTACCTTCATTATGAAGCATAATTTTTTTCGTACTTACCTCATGTAAAATTCAAAAGAAAAATCAAAAATTTTATTTAATTAAAAAAAAAAAAAAAAAAAAAAAAGAATTCTAGATGCCGTGTTGAAGATTCGTATACATTTACGTATACTTTTTCGCTCTTTTCTCACTTCATCATATCAGAGTTCAGTTTTTCTTAATAAGAATGCAATCAAAAATGTCTTTGGTCTTTTTATTATTAACGTTTTGTGTGTTAACTTTATTTAATGATATCACGATTTTCGTACTTACAGCAAAATTCAGTTTAACAGCAACGTCACCAGATATAGTAGTAGTAACGGAGGACGTGGGCACCATTTCCCTCTACCATTACGGTTAATCGGTTCTGCCCACGTCCACCCTTATCTAGTATTTATTAATAAATTCAATTTTACATTCTAACAAGTAATAGTAAACATTGTAATAGTTTTTACATTACAAAACAAGTAATAGTTTTTACATTGCCATATAGTGCCATATAAAAAAAATAAAAATAAAAATCTTAAAGTAGTACTTTATAGTCCTTCATGAAGTGTATCTTTGTAAGTAATTCTTTATAACATATCGAAATTTGTCCTTAGTAAAAAACGTTTGAAACTTATTCCCTCGTTCTTCTTCAAGAAGTTCTTCTCTTTCTTTCTTCTTCTTTTCTTCGTTCTTCTCTTTCCTTTAATCTTCCTTTCATTTAATCTTCGTTAAATCTTCCTTTCTTCTATCTTAATTTCTTTCCTCCATTTTACGTGTATTTTCTTCCTATATATCCTTTATCTTTTTACTTAATATAGCGAATAAGAAATCCATCTTTATGAAATACTTGTTAACACATTCTTTCCATCTTCTACAGAAAAATTTCCTTTTTCTTTTTAAAACCTTTATTTGTTATTTTATACTTTTTCCGTTTAAATATTTTTCCTTTGAAGCCGCCTTCTTCTGCCTTTCCTTTGAAATCTTTATTTGCAATCTTATACCTTTTCCCTTTAAAATCTTTTTCCTTTGACGCCTCCTTCTTCTGCCTTTCCATAAACGATTAAGTAGTCCTTCATTAGCTATATCATCTTGAATACTACTCCCTATTTCCTAAATCTTTAGTTATCCTTATACTATGGAGTAAATTCATCTGTATCTCAAATCCTTAAACTTCTTCTACTCAGCAGCTTCTTCTTCTCTTCCAATTTCACGTCACCAGATCTATAAAAACAGCATATCTTTAGGATTTTCGATAGACAGTATCGCGCGCTGGAAATAAAAATGTTTTATTCCGTACAGTGTTGCCACTGCCCGCTTTCAAAAGCGTAGTTTATTAACCAAACATTCATGAAAGTTTTACAAAATATGAGATAGATAATAAAATAAACTCGAAATTCAAAATTCGGACTTCCAGGTGCCCATGTTTAGGTGGAGCACTAACGTTATTCAGAATTTTCTGGCTGTAGGTACTACTCTTTTTTCACATTGCGAAAAACATTCTTATATTTTTGCACATTAATTAATTTCTTTAAAAATAATACAAGGAGATAATATTTAACGAAACAATTTGAAATGTATTAAAGCGATTTATAATTTCTAACACTCCGTTTGTAGCGATTCTTCGAAACTAATGACCCATTTGGACTAACGCCCCTTTGGGCTAAAGAACAAGAAAGGAAAAAAAAAAGTCTTCAGATTTTAAATTACGTCCAGAGGGGCGTTTTTGAACATTTTATGTGTTACCTTTATTTATTAAACATGATGTTTTTCGCACTTAAACCATAAAATTCAATTCAACAGCAATATCGCAAAATAATTTTAAAATGAGCCTACCTTTAGAATTTCCGATACACAGTCTCGCATTTTGGAGATAAAAATGTTTTCTCCCCCTTCCCCCCTCCCCCCCACACACAGAGGGTTGCCATTGTTCACTTTGAAATTATTGAGTTTGTTAATCAAAAATTCCTAAATTGTTACAAAATATGAAATAGCTAATAAAAAAAATTTCAAATTCCAAATTAGGGCTTCCAGATGCCCATATTCAGTGAAAAATTACGTTATTCAAAGTTGGATGACTCTAGGTACCGTTGTTTTATCACAATGCGAGAAATATATATACATTTATGCAGATTCTTCATTATTTAATTTCTTTAAATATAATACGAGGCGATGATATTTGGTGGCAACAATTTGAAAAGAGAATCGGACATTTATAGTGAACCAACGCAAAATGCCAAAACGAAAACAATAGTCCTTCAGGGCAAATTGGCGCTTTGAACTAAAAAATTTCTAGTACTTTCCTTATTCTACTCAGCATTCACTCGGACGTTCCTGCCTTTTAAGGTTTTTTTTTTTTTTTTTTTTTTTTTTTTGACGGACATCAGGAAGTGAAATGTTGCTTAAAAGGTAATTGAATTAAAAATAATAGAACAGCAGCATATACACATGGGCCGTCTTTTGCTTCTCTCATTTGATAGAAGAAAAGACTAAAGCATTAATTGAACGGTTAACTAAAGTAACTAATTCACATTCTCTTTTGGGAAAATAATTTCTCACGTAACTTCCATTCCCCGCCAGATCATTCCAATTATAAACGCATTTAAAGTGCGCGCTGCGGCAGAATACAAAAAATAGTTCCGTGCTTGAGAAGCCTTGTTAGTCTTAATTGCAGCTATGAAAGCCGCGCTAGAGATGTCTATTCATTGGGATGTTTTTCTTATTATTTCCTTCTACTATTTATTTATTTTTTTTTTCCTTAACTACTGACAGTGTGTGTGTACTTTGGCGTATGAATGGAACTACGCCGTTAATTATAAGTGTGAGGAAAAACTTGCTAATACCCTCCGGTATAGATGGAAGCTTCTTTTACCAAGGAAAGGGGCTTGGATTCGGAATACAGAAGCAGCCTGTGATTATTTTGATTTAAAAGACTGAAAAAAACTTGCAATTTTAAAAACTTTGTTACTAATGAAGTAAAATGACTGTAGAAATTAATTCTTTCTTATACATAGAAATGAAATATTGTTTGTAAGCTCATTATACAATTACGCAAACGACTGCATCGACTTGGAATTTTTTATGTAGTTATGACGCAATGATTTGCATTAGAAACACAGTGGACGAAACATCTTGAACTTCAACACCTTTTTCAAGGAAAGCTTATAAGGTAATTCTTCCGCCTTCTTAGTATGCCTTTGCAGTGTAGTGGTCAGCCCGCTCGACGTGTATTCGAGAGGTCCGTGATTTGAGTCCAGGTCCTAGGCACTGATTTTTTTTCATGACTTCTGCTTCCAAAATATCCTAATGGCTCTACAGTGGCGCCCGAACTAAAAAACGTGATGGATGATGTTTCTCCACCTCCAGGATTTGGCGATTGGGTTCCCTAATCCCAAATCGCCCTTTAAGCGGGTGAATATCATGGTGGTAGGAAGTATGATGGAGTAGCCCTAAGCAAGTTTCTCCCGTACCCTGCTCTGAAGCACCGGCGATCCCTACGTGATGACCAAAACATTGGATCATTTACCATTGAGTTCAATGGGATTTGACGCGTTCGGATGTAAATATTTTGTAATTACCTCGTAAATATACATATAAATGTATATATTTTCTTTTCCTACAACACTTCAGAGTCCTAAGTATATGAAAACAGCATATTTTTAAACAACATTTCATTTTGAACGGAATTAAATGCTATACTTTTCCAGGACAGTATTCTCAGAAAGGTTTAATTTGAATGAAATATTTTCACAAGTTTTCGTTAATTACATTAGAAAAAAATTAAGGTAATTCAATTTTATTCGGTTAAGGTACAAAAATTAAGATCAAAGTTTATTTTATTAATATTAAAATTATGCATTATTTCTTTTCTATTTATAGAGCTTCTTCCTAAAATACTTTCCTAAATATGACATGATTTTTTTTCTTCTGAGGCATCTTTTAAATTGAAAAATGTAAGTCAATTTATAATTAATGCTCTATTCGGTTCATTTTAAATTAGAGAATTATTAGGAATTAGCGAAATACTTTAAACAGTACTTGACTTTCTCTGAACATTTCTGAAAGGGAATAAAATAAGTTCTTTTTTTAAGTATTATTTAAAACTTGTAACTGAGTTATTATAAAATGTTAGGGGAATAATTCTTTTAATTATACTTATCAGATTTTTTTTTTACCATTCATTTCAACAATACATATTCCAAAACTCTTTATTACTTTCTTACGTGAGCATCTCATAGCATTTGCTTTACAATACCTTTTAACAGATTGCTTTCCAATACGAACAATTCTTGCTTAAATAGTTTTATAACGTATTTGTGAACAGGATTTCAATTTATGTTCACAATTCAATATTAAGGTTATTATATATTTAGATAACATTTATAATCATTATAAATTAGATACATTTAATCATTAGATTTCTTCACAGCACTTTCACAGTTGTTTATAAGTGAATAAATTCTTCATTTCAAATACATTTATAAATAATTTAATGAATATTTAAGTATTTTGTCAAAGGCAGATACATGCTTTTTGCAATCACATGCATAAATACCCATGCATGTTTCCTATTTTTCATTTCCGGCATGTGCATGTCATTTCCGACATTTAATATCTGTGCATTCACTATATTTTTCGTGTAAAGTAATTTACACTAATTTAGCATACACCCGAAAGTTTTGCATAAAAAATATATATGAATATAATTTGAATGAAAATTATATGCATTATTTTTAATACCCACTCAAAGGTCAGTTTTTCTTCAAAATTCCTCCACGATGGCATCTCTCTCTTTAGGCAGATAGCCTTTGCATGCGTTACTAAAAACTTAATCTGACCTATGGGCTAATTACAAATAAGATATATAAAATTAAAACGATGAGTTTAAAATGAGCAGCAGTAAAGCCTCTCCTCTAAAAAAATTTAAAAGGTACATGTTACAATAATATATGGATGTGAAAAAAAAATTTGTTTTATTTAAAACATTTTGGCATTTGAAAAATAAAATAAAAGTAGCGAATACTCTATCAAGGGTATCGAAAGACGTATACAATTTTAAATGTACCGTAAGGTATTTTTCATCCGGCATCTTTAAGCATAACGATTTTTATGCTTAAAATCTATATTTTTGTAGTTCAACAGCTTAGAATTTTATAAAACAAATTCATAATCAAAATCGCTGTTGTTAGTTATAGAAAAATAACCAAGATGTTGATTTTTGCGTAAATGTCACTAAAGTATACAAATTGCTATTATCCATCACACAATGAATGTTTCTTTCATGCTGAAAGTGTCTCGTTTTTCGATTGTATGGAACTGTCGTGTGTCGAAATACTATCAGAACCGTTGGTCAAGGCGAGCTTCTGCATATAAACAAAAAACCAAGGAGGTTAGAACCTCCTTGCAAAAAGAACACCCCGTCTGGTGACCCAAGCTTCAAAGAAGTGCTTCACTTCTAGCGCAGGTTGGCCCCTCCTTCCTCTCCTACTTCCATGGTGAGTATATTAGGTATTTCTCCCGCCTTCTTAGCATGCCTTCGTGGTGTAGTGGTCAGTGCTCTCGACGCGTATTCGAGAGATTCGTGGTTCGAGTCCTGGCGAAGGCGTTGCTCTTTTCTCATGTCTCCCACTTCGAAATAACCTGATGTCTCTACAAGCTGAAAAAGAGAAAATATTTCAAGCGTCGATAAAATTTTAATAAGAGAGTCAATGCGACGAATGCCGCATTTACAGTTGTAAAAGGCTCTTGTGAAATACAAGCTACAGTACACGAATTAACAAAAAACGATGCTTCTTAAATGGAAGCCGAATGTATCACCTTTCTTGTGCGTTTTAGAAGATTTTTATTGTTATTTTTACGAATACTATCACTATGGTTGTAATGACACATTTTTGAAGGTTTTGGAAAGCTGATTTAATTACATCGCTTCTAGACGGATCTCGAAACCTGCTCTAGGGCACAGGTTTGTTCTACATTACTCTCTCAAAGGATAAACTTCTTAAAAGCTCGAAGAATGAGCATTATTCTAAAGCCTCACTAAATGATTAAACTTTTATTTGAGATCTTCGACTTAAAGGTGTAATTGCCTTATTTTTACTTGCAAGATGGACGGAACTGACTAATATACTTACTTGATTGTATAAGCGCATCCTTAATGTATGTAACGGAAACATTCAAGTTATAGCTATACCTTGAAAATACAGTACTAATTTCTATCTTTTTGT